TGGGTCTCCTCCGAGTTGGACATGTCCGAAAAACCTCCCGAGGGAGGCATCCTTACCAGATGCCTGAACCACCTCAACTGGCTCCTCTCAATGTGGATAAGCAGTGGTTCTACTCAGAGTCTCTCCTGAAAAACTGAACTGCTCACCCTATCTCTAAGGGAAAGTCCAGCTACACTGCGGAGGAAACTCGTTTCACCCACCTGTAGCCACAATCTTGTTATTTCAGTCACTACCCAAAGTTTGTGACCATAGGTGAGGGTAGGAGCATTGACAATAAACGTCTCCTTGAAGCTCAACTCCAACTTCACTATAATGGACCAGCACAATGTTCGCAATACTGCAGAAGCTGCACTGGTCTGTCTGTCAACCTGACACTCTATTCTTCCCACACTGTGAACAAAACCCACAGCTACTTGAACTCCTCCACTTGTGGCAGAACCTCACTGCCAACCCAGAAAGGGACGTGAGATTAAACTGTGGTATTGTATGTAGAAATCTGTTTTTGGTGGTAAATAAAGGTCTGATGAGATAGTAAAATGAGTCGGATCCCCTTGAAGTCAAAGGTCACACAGTTTTATTGAGAAGTTAGACGGCCATTCAAAGTTGAAGCACCCTAAAAAGACTTGAGGATTCAGACAGATGAGCGGTCATTCAGTTCAAGATTCAAGATGCAAGATTCTTTATTTGCCATTCGTACCATATGTGGTACATGTGGTGTGAATGAAATTGTGTACACAGGGTCCCAGTTACATCCAACAAAGTATTAAAATGTAAAATAAAAACAGTAATAAAATCTAAGATATGAACTAAGAAAACATTAACACTAAGTGCTAGTAGCATAGAAACAATACGCCGAACAGCAGCACAAACATGAGTCCGTATGAGCAGATGAGTACGCATGAACACAGCAACATGAAACAGATCAGCAGCAACATGAAACAGATCAGCAGCAACATGTGATTTTTCAGTGAATGTCCTGGTTAGATATTCATAAGTCTAACAGCCTCAGGGTAGAAGCTGTTCCTCAGTCTAGTGGTTCTACACTTAATGCTCCTTAACCTCCTTCCTGAGGGGAGTGGGGCAAAAAGTGTGTGCTGGGTGAGTGGGGTCCTTCATGATGCTGCGTTTGTGGCAAAAAATATATATAAAAACATTACAACTATCGTCTTGTCAACCCAGGAGCCACACAATGAAATTAATTTATTGAGACAAAACATTAGAATCTTATGATCATAATGTCTGCAAAGACAAAAAGTATTTTTGCTTGTTTTGTTTTTTTCAGTTGTACATTAGAAGTCGGTGGCTGACAAGTGCAAACATGCTACCTGTTGGCGGTGCGTTTGCACCTGTCGGCCACCGTAGTAGCAGCCACCTTGAAATGATTTCCTTCGGGCAGATGAAGGGAAGTCGGAGATCGTCATCATTGTATGTTCCCACACAATGGCACAACTAGTACTCTGCATTTAACCCATCAAACCAGAGATGCGTATATCCAGGTGGGGCAGTGGGCAGCTATGTAGGCGCCCGAGGAGCAATTGGGGATTGGGTGTCTTGCTCAGAGACACTACAACATGTGGGAAAGACTGGGAGTCGAACCACAACTTTCTGGTCCCAAGGTGGCTGCCCTACCTCCACCCCATCTCAGCCCCTGGTTGAACTGGTTGCAGTTCATGTAAGGTTTGTGCTGCAAAGTCTGTTTTGACACCACAATATGAGCACGGGCATGCAAATAAATAAAAATAAAATAAAAGCTAAAGTAAATATGTCAAGGGAAATTAGGCTTTTGGCATGTTTTTTTTTTAAAGCTTGACTAACCAGTTATGTCAAAACAAATTCTACTTTTGGGCAGAAAAGCTCCGGCGAGGCTCTTTTGGCATCTTTTACTGCGTTGTGTATCAGCTAACGCCGAGCACAGCGATCCAGTCAATCTGAACCCGAGGGAACCCAAACCAGAAAATGCACTTCATGAATCATGCAGACCCAAAGCTATGGGGGGGGGGGGGGGGGGGTCCTTTGTTTCCATTTTTTTTTTTTTTTCCACAAAATGAAAAGGTTGGGACAGTTGATGCCAGAAGCAGTTTGAAGGAAGGAGATTTTATTTTATTATTTTTTACCTTGCAATGATTTCAGACACTTCTCTCAGATCCTGTAAACAGGAAGAAGATTGGGAGCAGAAGAAAAGAGAGTGCGGTAATAAAAAATATATATATTGGTCTCAGAAAGGCTGTAATTTAATCCTGTGTGTGACCTCACTTCCTGGATAGCATAGGCCCTATAGACACAGCCTATGTTTATCAGGTGCACCTTTTTTTTTCTTCTCTTATCGGAGTTGTGAAGTCTCGTGTGAGGTCACCACGCCTTAGCAGGAACTGCTGGCTCTTTGTGTTTCAGGCGTTTACAAAGTAAAACCATCTGAAATGACTTGAAGCCGAAATCTGATGTGAACTTGGAAACCTCCCGGTAAGCCTGTTTAAACAGAAACATCTTTTTGTCCAGGAAGTTCATATCAGTCAATTTTATGAAGTTTCATGATTATAGTTTTGTGCTCCGGGATCAAAGGTAAATATAAACCTAATGCTAAATGAAAGCTTCGGCTCTGCAGTCATTTGGAGCCAGCATGCGAGTTCAGGCAAGAGCGTGAACACAAAATATGTAACCAAAAGTGGAAACGGACAAAGCAGTTGTTAGAAATATGATTAATGGTCTCAACAGGGAAAGGACATGAAACAAAGCTACAGACTCAATCAGGAGATTATCTCAAAGGTGTTAAAGAAAATGCCTCAAATTCAAGTATCTGCAGGAAAACAGGGTTGTAATAAAGTTTTATCCCTTCTGCCTCAGATGTCACATCTTTTCTTCCATTGTTAAATTCAGATGCAGTCAGCGTATAAAAACTGAATTAGAGCTGAACCTTGATTTCAATATAATTTATTACCACAAAAATCACAGTTTGTAGTTTGTTTGTTTTTTAATAAATTGAGGCAACATTCATGTGGGAGGCCATTTATAGAAATAAAGTCTTAAAATGTTGGTTTGTTGACCATGTTTTAGTCTTTCGGGAACAAACTGATAATGTGAACTGTACAAAAATCACTACAACTTAGATCAACTGCAGAGAAAAGATCAATTTAACAAGATAAAAAAACGTGAAAATGCTTTTATAAACTCATGGGTTAAAAAAGTACATTATTTAATTTCATTTTTAAAGTTTATTATTTTATTTGCCTGCTACAGAAAGAAAAGATGCACGATGATAATTCCGACTGTGTCTGTTAGCAAAATATCTTATAAACCAAAAGATGAATTTCAATGAAACGTTCAGGAAATAATATTGGATCAACAACTAATCAGCTGTTCGAGTCAACCCTATGCAAGATGGCCGCCACAGCTATTTAACCTTTTAAAAACAGAAACAGACAAAGCTCAGTGAATTTTACAAGCTCAGATCTGATGTAGTTATTCCCAACACACAGTACACGCACTAACGGACTCCATGAGATCTCACAATCTTGCTTGGTACTTTACGCAATGTTTTATTTTTTTGTTTTTGCTGTTTGTTTTTAAAGATTTGACCAAATTGGCATTAACTTTATCATTTCTCATTATAAGAAAATCTTTGTTTAAATTGTTTAAAACTCTGGAATGACAGGAGGTAGATTATGTGCATTCCTTCAAGGAACAATGGGCCTTTAATCTGGTTGGATGCTTTTAAAATAAAGATAAACGCGACGGCCTGATAGTGGGTTACACATTCTCAGTGAGCTTTTGTAAAACTTCACCTGTTCTCTAAATTCACTCGTTCCGGTGAAGATAATGTCCCCCCCACACCAACATCCAAGTCTTATCCCAGGATGGTGAACAGACCGTCAAGAGTTTGTGACTCTCTTGTTGGGTCATCAGTTCTGGAACGCCTTGAAAAACACACAAAGTCAATGCTGTCCCAAAAATAAATAAATAAATAAATAAAACTCATCACAAGAGGAGTCGGAGGGGGTAATGTCCGTCCATCCTGTCAGAGAACATCAATAACCAGAGGGCAGGAAACAAACAGAGTGGTTGACCCTCATCAGACCAACACACCATTGAGGTGAAGAACTGGACCAGGACCAGCCTATCAGGATGTTTCAAACATGAACAGAACCAGAACCTGTCCGGCTCCCGTCAGCACCAGCAGGAGGTCAGTTATGTAGGTGTTACGAACAAAACAAAAGTCTTGTCAGATGGCATCTGTGGAGAATTAAGTTGAAAATCGTGCAAAACTGAAACAAGTCAGGAATTCCGTCAAATATACGTCGAAATCTTCAGAGACGACGCCAGTCAATGAAAATATCTATAGAGAAAATAGTTGGAGTCGATTAAAATTTGATATTAAAAAAAAAAATCTGTTAAATGAAAAATGTGTATAAAATGGTAATCCCACAGAACAGAAGGTAAAACTGTAAAGCATCAGTAAATAAAACAGAATTCCTTATGAAATGCACATTACCTGCCTAAATGCATGCGTCAAAGATGACCCTCAGCTACTACCACATACAATTTTAGCTCATAATTTGTCAAACTAACGGCGTTCCAGCCATTTATGTGTTTGCGATCATTGTAAGCTGTAGCAGCCATTTTGAATTAGGCTGACTCCAAAGGTTAATCAGTTATGCGCATTTATTGACTAATCCCTGAGAGTTTCGTTCAAACCCGTCTTATAATTGATAAGATATTTTGCTAACAGTTAAACAAAAACACACTTTACTGACAGCAAGCAGCAATGCCATTTTAATAGTTAATAAATCTAAATGCTTTATTTTCTAAATAAATCAGCAACAGTTGCATGAAAGTAGGCTGAAAGTTCACCACGCCCTGATAAGACTGGAGACTTCCTGTGAAGAGCCGAAGCTAAACAGATTCTCACACAGCTGCAGATTTCTGCACTCAGAGCCTCTCTGCTTCTTATTTTCCACAGATCAAAGACATTTTCTGAGAGGGCAGCGTGTCCCGTGTACACCGCCATGAAGACGCCAACGACAGGTGAGTGATTTCAGAGGACATCACAGGTGCCTGCATGTAGACGACATGTCTCAGGTTTTCACTCTGGTGGTTCAGCCTTTAGGTAAAATTTAAACCAACACTTTGAAAACTAGACCGATTTATTGCATCCTGTTTGGATTTTACCTGCGTAAATCACTAAATTAGAAACATCTAAAAATGATGCCGAAAAACTGGTTCATGCATTTGTCACGTCTAGACTGGACTGTTGCAATGGTTTATCATCTGGGTGTCCAAATACTTCTTTTAAAAGTCTTCAGTTGATCCAAAATGCTGCTGCCAGAGTCTTAACTGAGTCAGCACTCACACTCCTCTGTTTCTGTATTATCGGTAATACTTGTTTCAAATATTTCTTCAACTCTAAGTTATGGATCTAAGAAGTTCTTGGACAAAAGCATCATATAAATCTAGCTGAATAAAGCCTGCAGTATAAATATATATATTTATTCATGCTGTCTTCTTTATATAAATTTGTTTTCAGACGATGTTTACGCCTACGCTCTGTCTAAGACTCTGACGAAGATTTCTTCACCTGCAACCGTGGGGCTCTACTCGTCGTGTCAGGACAGGGTTTCCCTGATCCTGGAGCAAATGGAAGGTATGAAGAACGTCTGACACGGCAGGTTGTCTCTCAAACAGCCGCTTGAACCCCGGGACGACGATGAGCCTGAGGACGGGCACCATGGGAGGCCGGCCGCAGCCTTCTACTCCAGATGTTCACGTGTTTAGAGTGTTCGTGACACTGGTTCTGTTGCTGCAGTTAGCTGTGAACATGATGGGAACGTGTGAAACAAGTTCACTATGAAACCGTGCTGACGCAACGTTACAACTCCCAGACTTGCACAAAACTAGAAAAGAGAGAACTAGAGAAACTTTAGCTCCTGTGAAAATGCAGCGTGGATGCTTACTGCTGAATGGTTTGTGCTGAAAGCTGCTGAAGAAGCTGAACCCAGCGGAAAGGGTTTCATCACTAAACTGTTGACGCAAGTTGAATTTGAACAGCTGACATTTACTGAAAGCAGGAAATCAAAAGAAGAATGTGGAGAAAAAGCTGAATACAGAAACAAACTGATGTGAGCAGAAAAGGCTGAAATCAGAAGAAAAAAAAAAGGATTAATTATTTTTATTTATTTTTATTTTTTTATGAAATTAGCAGAAAGACTGAAAGGATCATCAAAAGTTGAAATTATTCAAAAGAATCACAAAAGGCAGAAATAAAAAAGCAGAAAAAATGATCAAATTTAGCAAAATACCTTTGAAAAATAGCTGAAAAGCAGGAAAAAGCTGAAATTAGTACAAAGAAGCTGAAATGAGCTAAAGGAAGCCGAAATTGAGCTAAAGAAAGTTAATACTAACACAAAAAAGCTGAAATGAGCTAAAGGACGCTGAAAATGGCACAAAGGCGCTGAAAAGAGCTAAAGGAAGCCGATACTAACACAAAGAAGCTGAAATGAGCTAAAGGAAGCCGATACCAACACAAAAAAGCTGAAATGAGCTAAAGGACGCTGAAAATGGCACAA